CAAAGTTGCAACTCAATCAATAATTTAGATTATTTTAGTTTCTGAAGCCAGAAAGATGTCAATAAATATAGTGAAAATAGCTATTTTCACCTCGTTTTGAAGTCATGCTAAATTTTTCACACCGCCGAATAAAAAAACTAAGTTTTTCACCCCAGAAAGTGCAAAAGGCATTGTGCGATGAATATGCGACAATTGCGCGATGACATTATGCGAAAGTTAAAAGTGCGAAGGCATTCGCATATCCTTCGCACTTTTTGAGGTGAAAAAAAATTAGAGTGTGAAAGGCATTGTGCGATGAATATGCGAAAATTGCACGATGGCATTGTGCGAAAGTTAAAAGCGCGAAAATATTCGCATATCCTTTGTACTTTCTGTGGTTAAAAAAAGTTAAAGTGCGAATGCATTGTGTGATGAATATGCGACAGTTATGCAATTGATTTACGACAGTTATGCAGTCTATCGCATAACTTTCGCACTTTCCATGGTGAAAAAGTTAGATTGTTAGTGGACGGTGTAAAAAACTTAATATATCTTTGTATTGGGGTGAAAAAAGATTTTTTCCCTATGTATAGGACTACTTTCCAAATGGTGAAAATAGTTATTTTCACATCGTTTTGAAGTCTTGTTAAGTTTTTCACACCATCCAATAAAATATTAAGTTTTTCACCCCAGAAAGTGCGAAAGGCATTGTGCGACAATTGCGCGATGACATTGTGCGAAAGTTAAAAGTGCGAAAGTATTCGCATATCCCTTCGCACTTTCTGTGTGAAAAAAAGTTAAAGTGCGAAGGCATTGTGTGATGAATATGCGACAATTATGCAATTGATATGCGACAGTTTTTCGCATAACCTTCGCATATGTGACAGTTATGCGATGAATATACGACAATTTTTGCATAACATTCGTACTTTTCAGGGTGAAAAACTTAGCTTTTTATTAGGCGGTGTGAAACACTTATTGGGGTAAAAAAAAAAAATTTCCCTACCAAGTGTATAGGACTTTTTTTAACAATTAACTATTCATTTCATTGGTAGCACTACTTTCCAAATTCACAACTTCTAGGAGTAAAAGTTCATCATAATAGTCTATCTTTTTTTTTTTTTTTTTTGGTATAGGGACCTTCCGGTTTCCAGATTCACAGGGGAACCGACTAATCCAGAATCGAGCTGGGTAGGATCACAAAGTTCATCATAATAGTCTATGTTAATAGTATCTTCGATAAATAGTTAACTCAAAATCGATTTACAAATAAATTTTATAGGGCTAAAATAATAAATTAGGTAACAAAAATATGTATATGTATGTATTAAAAACGTATTACGTCAGCATATGTTAATAAGACATGCGTAAATAGGAAAACACTATATCAATTCCTATAAAAATTTCATGGTTCCAGTGGATGATTCCCT